CCCCTCTCCCCCCATACTCCCACATCTCCACCCAAAGGAAAGGAGCTGCAGGGGGCAGAAGCCCCACCCTTCTCTGGGTTAGGCCCAAATTGGGGGGTGGGCTGTCACACTGCTGTAACTGGAGAATCCCTCCCTGACCATGAGCTAGTGGGGAGGGGGTGAATGGCCAGGAAGAGGGTCTCCCTGAAGAGGTGGAAAGCTAGAAGGAAGAGCCCACCAGCAGACACTCTCCACAAAGCTGTGGGTGAGAAGAACCTGATATGGAAGAAAAACCACCCTCTGGCCTTGACAGCCAGCACCTCATTGAGCACCCACATCCACCCATTACCATCTTCTCCCCTCAATGCAGACTAACCACAGCATGCCCTCAGAACAACCCATACTCCATTCAAATATAGTAAGGTAATAAGATACTCATACATACACTCCTGTGCCATTCCCACAACACATGCAGCCTAGTGCCCATTCCCATACCTGCACCGGCTGTCTGGCACACAAAGCAAGGGAACTCAGTCCCTGCCCAACATCTGAAAATGCATTAAGACCCAAGTTCACAACACTCCAGCACAAAGGTGCATCTCACTTCACTTGCCTGTCAGATATGCATATCCTTGCCCACTCCTGCCAATAGTGGGCAGAAGATTCATAGTGGCTGCATCTCTCTTGTGTTCCAAGGCAGGTGGCAAGGGTGGCTGAGGCTTTTGAACCCAGCAAGCCTTAGACAGAGGACTCCCAAACAGCAGCCCAGCCAGGCCTAATTGGCTGCTGTGTGCTCATCTGAATGGTGAGCCTCTGTCCTCCATTCCTGGGTTCTCAAAGTCCCTGCCACTCCCGTAGAGGCAGAGACTGAGGCTACTGTGAGAGGGATGATGTCCCTTTCCATCTCCCTTCAACACACACCCTGGGCCTACTGCCCCACATCAGCAGCATCTGTGTGTCTGTTGTGTGTTCTGTGTGTGCATGTGCTCTGGGCTCCCTGAACAGTGGCTAGCTCTGAAGCACTGGCCAGCAGTCCCAATGGCAGCAGCGAGGCTCCCAAAAGCAACAGCAGTGGTGGCTCCCAGGGCACCCTGGCCTGCAGTGCCAGTGACCAGATGCGACGATACCGTACTGCCTTCACCCGGGAGCAGATTGCACGGCTGGAGAAGGAATTCTACAGGGAGAACTACGTATCCAGGCCCCGGAGATGCGAGCTGGCAGCTGCCCTAAACCTGCCAGAGACCACCATCAAGGTATGAGTTCTGGGGACCAGGGAGAGAGGGTGCACCCAGTCAGGAAGAAGTAAATACCACTTCCCACTCTCTAAATCATGAGCCTGGAATTGAGGCCTGGAGTCTCCCTGCCCACATGGCAGCTAGGCTGGGGGTGTCCAGGCCTGGTGCAGGTACCAGGTGCGTGCGGATTTACCCTCCCGACAGTTCCTAGGTGGGCACTGCTGCCATGAGCTTGACTTTGTCCCTCTCCTAGCCAAATAAACAGCGGAGATGAGATGCCTGTGCAGGTGACAAGGAAGTGCCCCAAGGGAGAGTGGCTGGAAAGGGAACTGTTTCTGGGGGATCGCTGCCTGCCGCCTCAGACCGGTGGAGTCCTTAGTCTCGTACCTACTACTTGCCAATCTACATCGGGTTCTGGCGTCCTGGCGGCAGGGGCAGAGGGGAGGAGGGACAGAGACTGGAGTGGCTCCCTGAGCCTCTCCTGAAGGGATTCTAGCTCCAGGGGGAGGTGATGGAATCTGCCCCCGCCCAGAGGGTCGCCTCTTTGGCTCTTCGTTGTGCTGCCGGCACCGATCCCTGCAGTGGGGCAGGACTTCTGGGCTCTGCGCACTGGGCCAGCGCAGCCGCCCAACCTGCCCGTCTCCTCCTCTTCAGGTGTGGTTCCAGAACCGGCGCATGAAGGACAAGCGGCAGCGGCTGGCCATGACGTGGCCGCACCCGGCCGACCCCGCCTTCTACACGTACATGATGAGTCACGCGGCGGCCGCGGGCGGCCTGCCCTACCCCTTCCCGTCGCACCTGCCCCTGCCCTACTACTCGCCGGTGGGCCTGGGCGCCGCGTCCGCCGCGTCCGCCGCCGCCTCGCCCTTCAGCGGCCCGCTGCGTCCGCTCGACACCTTCCGCGTGCTCTCGCAGCCCTACCCGCGGCCCGAACTGCTGTGCGCCTTCCGCCACCCGCCGCTCTACCCGGGCCCGGCGCACGGACTGGGCACCGCGGCCGGCGGCCCCTGCTCCTGCCTCGCCTGCCACGGCGGCCCGGCCAACGGGCTGGCGCCCCGCGCCGCCGCTGCCGCCGCCTCGGACTTCACCTGTGCCTCCACCTCCCGTTCGGACTCCTTCCTTACCTTCGCGCCCTCGGTGCTCAGCAAGGCCTCCTCCGTGGCGCTGGACCAGAGGGAGGAGGTGCCCCTCACCAGATAAGGGGCCGCCCGCGGGCAGCCGGCTCCAGGACGCCCGTGGGGACCCCCCTGGAACTCAGCCAGCGCCCCTCCCGGCCCCCAGGGCACCGAGGGGAAAGAAGAGGGCCACCGAGGACCAGCGGGATTTGGCCTCGAGCACCGGGACGCCCGGGAAGTGGCCGTGGCTGGCACGTTTGGGGAGCAGGATCGGGGATGGGAAGGTAGAGGCTGAGAGACCTTCCTCTGGGGCGGCCCTCTTTGCCATTCTTCACCAGACCCACTGCCCTTGACCCGGATTGAGGCCATGGCTCCAGAGCTAAACAAACTTAGCAGCAACAACAACAACCAATATTCAGCCCCTCACCCCCATCCCTCCCCACCCCTACCCCAACCCCAACCCCTTTCTCATCCGGGACCCCTCCCCCTGCCAAGGCCAAGTCCAAGCACTGGAAAGGGAAATCGCTGTCTCTCCGAACAAAAAGCTGTGTATGCAGAGCAGGTAGAGATTAATCTTAGCTAGCATTTTCAAGGCATGGCAAGGGGCTTGTGGATGGCAAAGCACCAGCCATCTAGGAAAGAGAGGGAGATGATTTACTGCTGTGGATAATGCTGGCCCCTCCAAGGAAGCAGGGGGCTTTCTTGCCCTCTTGGAGCCTCAGTTACATATTTTTTGATTCTGGTATCTACCATCACCAGATCTCTTTCATCTTTCCTAACTTCTTGATATCTCTCAACTTGTAACTCCAGCTCCACCCCCATTCCTCCCCTACTTTCTGTGTCACTGGGCAGGGAGGCTGCAGACACCTCAGAGCCCCTTGGCGGCTTCCACCAAGCCTCTTTTCTCTGGGTCCAGCACACACCCTGATTAGCAAGTGATGTGTGTGAGGAGGGATTTTGAATGTTGAATATATAATAATGATCACCATGCTGCCAGCCACAGAGCCCAGAGCTGGGCTGTTAACAAGGCGCCCAGGGAAGAGCTTAGGGAGCAGGGAACTCATCTCCCTCCCTCAGTATCTGGTGGCAAATTAGAGGCTATTTCCAGCCTTTGCCTGTTTACCTTCTCTTCACCAGCAGCTTTCTGCCCTTCCCTTTGCATTTGGCATTTTACATCCTTCTTCCTCTCATTTTCCTCCCCAGTTGCCAATGGGGCTTGACTTTCAGATACTAGCAGGAGCCTTCTGCCTCTTCTAGGGAATTTGTCTCTCCCCTCTGCCGGTGTTTATTTGGGAGCCACTCCAATACTCTCATTTCCACACTCATTCTTGCAGCCAATTTTTGAGGGATGGGAGAATTTGTACCCCCAAGGCAAGCTTCACCCTGAGTGGGAGGGAATGGTTCTTCCTGTAGGGAATGAATTTGATTTGGTTTTCCTTTGAAGCCCAAAGAATTTGCTGTTACAATTTGTTGACCATATTGCAATAAAGCTGGATATGATTCTCACTTCAGCATTTAAAATTTTTTGGCAGCAGGCAGTTAACGCCTTTTGAATTACTAGTTCAGCTACCATAGGCTTGGGAAGGGAAGGATTCAAAAGATGGACACACAGACAGTCTCCCAAGCCTCTACTGGGCATTGGAAGGCTCCAAATGGACACTGCACAGAGGTGGAGGAGGGCTCTGAGCCGAGCTGCCCTGGGATGTACATTTTTTTGAAAATCCTGTGCCTCCTGGGAGCCTTGGCTCAACTGGCCCAGCAGAGTTCTGATCTCACAGGCCATTCGCCCTGATGCTTCCTTCTCCAGTTGCTTCAACCCTTTGAGGAAAGGGGACCCTGGATTCTGGTCTTTGTGGATCCTACCTCCTCCCAAATCCAAGGGGGAGACAAATGGGGTTGTGGGGGTGGAGCTTGAGCACTGCAGAGAGCTGGGTTTGCTGGTCAAGCTGGGTCTACATCTTAGGGTGTGGGGAGAAGAGGGAGGAGGACTTCTGGGTTAGGATGGGAGGGTCTGAATCTTCTTCAAACTGGAAGTCATCTCCAACGATGGAATTCTGGGCTGGTCAAGGCAAAGGGACAGGCAGTGCTCAGCAGCCACCTCAGCCCTATTCTCCATTCCTATAGGAGAGCCACTGTGGCTGCCTCTGAAGTCCTGCTTAAGCAGGGGAGAAATGGGTGCCCTCAGTAGACTGGGAGCTCAGGATTGCATGGATTCAAGGGTCCTCTGCCGGTGTATTCACAGGCAGGTGAGGACTCCTTTATCAGCCTCCATTCCTCCTTGGGCTTTAGAGAAGCCCTCCTAAACATAGTACTCCCAGCCCTCCCAAGCAAAGCCTTGTGCTGAGGTCTTTAGCATCCTCTCTGACGCTCGCCACCCCCACTCCCAGCCTTGTGCATCTCCCTCTGCAGTTGGGAGTTGCCCGGTGCCAAACCACGGCAAATTTCTCGGTTACTTCTCGTCGGGCTAAGATTGCTTGCGACAGGTAAATGGGCTGCGGGTTGCCGTAATGCCAGGCGTATTTTCAGTTAATAGGGAGGGAAAATGAGGTGTCTGCAGCGATATTGGAAAGTACAAGATCGATGATCCGGCCTCGTGTCCAATCAGCAGCCTTTAATTGACTGTATTTTCTGGGTAATTGAGCCTCTCTTCCTCCAAATTGAAGTGGAAGATATAACAATACATCTTGCCAGGAGGAATTACTCATTACTTCATAATGAAATTTCCCTTTTGCCAAGGTTTGCAGTTTGGCGCTAAGCACTCACTTCTCAGTCCTTCCCCGACCCCCGCCCCAAAACAGGCTTTTCCCGCCTTATACTGGCCGAAGCATCAGGCTTGATACTTCCATTTTGGTGGTGGAGGAGGGGGAGAGGGAGAGATGACCATGAAGATGATGTGGCACCTCCACAGCCTCCGTCTCCTCATCCACAAAATGAGAAGGCTAGACCAAGCAATGGGGATGACTTGGTATTATTTTCGTTTTTCAATTTTCTGATTTGTCTCTACATAGTTTTCCCCAACTCGGTCCCATTTTGCAGGTGGGAAAACAGAGGCTCCAATCTCACGCAACTATTAGTGACTCATGTAGCTATGAGTTCCAAGCTCCAGCAGCTCCCCCTCCCCTGCCCTAGGCCTCTTTGGGGCCCAGAGTCCACAGTCACCCCTCAGGAAGTCTGACACCTCACATGTGACTCACGATTTCCCTGAGTTCCTCAACCTAATTGGGACCCCTTGGGGCCTGGGAGCGCAGACCAGCACTCAGCCACGATCCTCCTGGCCAGGGAAGACCAGCCACCCTGCAGCCCGAGTGTGTGCCCAGTGCTGGCCGTCGCTGGCTTGTTAGCAAGTGATTGATTGCCTTATTAAAGCGTGTTCTTGTAAGTGTGACCAAACTGATTGCATTGCATATGTTTGGGATAATGCTCATTTTAAACAACAGGATAAAGAGGATGAGCACGGGAGAGCCTCCGAAGACGAAATGATTCTGGCCAGCAGCTCCCCGACTCTGGCATTAAATTGCCCAGTTACATAGCAAATCACTTGGTTCCTCCACCCTTGTCCTCATTTTTTTTTTTCTGGCCTGCAGTTTGATCGCATCCCCCAATGTGGTCTGCTGCACGAATGATTTCTCTAGTCACTATGTCGGCCATGCCATCCCAAACAGGAAATCCACACGTGCACATCCCAGACAGAGAGTCCCTCTGCCCCCATCCCAGACAGAGGGAGAGGTGATTCAGATTGCATCCTCTCACCAGGCCTCCCAGGGGGACTTGGCCCTAGATGGTCACCACAAATGGGAGTTTAGGTCCCTGCAGCAAGTCCCCACCGTCAGCACTTTTGCAAAGGTTGAAAAGATTCTTTTGTTTCCCAGGCTTCTCCCGCTCGGTTACTTCCATTATTCCATAATTGAGGAAGCACCCGCTACCATATGTCGTGGAAGAGCGTGGGTGTCACGGGCAGACAGTTGTGGAGAGTGGCAGATGGATGGCATTCTCAAAGTGGAAAGAGCTTTTCCTTCCTACCGTCCTCTCCAAGCACTGTCACCCGAAGTGAGAGAGGCAGTAGTGTCAGTGAGTGGAGGGGTGCAAAGGAGGCTGGGCAAAAAAAAAAGACTTTTTTTTCCTAATTATTCCACCCCCAACCAATCCTTGCAGCCAGATTCTCTTTCTGGGCCTGTTCTCTAACAAAGAAATCCTCAGCTGGCCTCCACCCATTCTAGTCGACTTGCACAGGAGCCAAACTGCTGGCAGATTGAACTTCCTAAGGGACACCTTTGGGATACACTGCAATTCTGATATGTTCAAGATGATGATGGTCATCAGGACAAGTCAGAAACGATGCTGCTCTTTGGGGTGTCATTTGTCAGTGCAATCACACGGATTCGTTTGCAAGACCCAGCTAAAAAGGGTCTGGATACGTGACGATTCAAACGGCAAATTTCTTCCATCACTCAACTCCTCCCTGGCTCCGCGGGGGCAGACACATTAGACTGCATTAGGGTGAAACCGAGGCCCAGCTCACCATTTGTGCCAGCCTGCGGGACCCCCAAATGTTGACAGGAGGGGAGGGGAAGCCAACCACAAAATGCATGCTACCTTCTACAAAACAAACAGAAACAAAGCCGTTTCCAAAATCGCCTTCTCAGCAAATAAGTGTGTGATATTCTGAGCAGGAGCAGGAAAGAGGGAAAGATTGCCACTTAAAAATAACATGAAAGCATTAAGTAATTATTTAAAACAAGGCTGTTTAGAAAAATATTTGTATTTATTGCAGCTGCTCAATTGGCCTCGTTAAAGTCGGCAAGCATTTAAATTGTGTTACAATCTCATTTAAATCCCGCTCCGTTCCAGCAGGCTGAAGAGCTTGAATAGACCAATCACTTCATAATGATGATGAATGAGAAATTAATTCAGATACAAGCAAGACAATTTAGGCCTTCATCTGTTTAAATAGCCTTCCAATATTATTCGCGATCGCGGGTCACAGATTGAATCAATTGTCCAATCTTGTGAAAGTCATATCCTTGCATCTTCATCGAGATTATTTATAGCGCGGTGAGGGCTGCTGAAAGGTATACGCTGTTAACAGGGACAATTACTTAAAGGGAAGCGTTTATAAAATGGGAAACAAATGCCGGAGTTAGTAACAAATGGGATCAAAAGCAGCCATTCCAATCTAGCTCCTCGAGGGAGGCGAGCGGGCCCGGCCCCCGCAGGCTGTGGGGCGCTGAGGGCTCGGTCTCTGGTGAGGCCTCCACCGCCCAGGTGAGGCCGGGGCTTTCAGGCGCGCCAGCCGGGGCCCTGGCCACCGTGCTGACCCGGGGCCGGTCTCGCCCTGGCCCATTTC